GCTCAAAGCACAGCCTGGCTTTGCAGACATGCCTTTCCCCCAATCCCGGCAGCTCTGGCATCTCTCAGCCCTGCCCTCCGAGGCCTGTGCTGTGTTGGTCCTGGCTGCCAGTATACACCCGTGGGCAGGCTTCAACCCGGGCCACGGCCGGCCGCGGCCCCAAGCAGCACGTTCACTGCCTGCGGCACCGGCACCGGGGCGGCCATCCATCCCTCCCCCTCCGCCTGCCACCACGCGGAGGAACTGATCAAAACGTCTCCCCGCGGTGATGAATCCAGCTGAATCCGGGTGCAGGCTGCGATGCAGTCAGTCACCAAGGGAGATTGCACCACGTGCATCCCCGCAGCCGCGGGGAATGGGGGCCGGGGTTTCCCTGCTAGGTCCCTCGCAGCCCCTCGGGCTTGGTTTCACTCCACAGGGGCTCAGGTAGCACTTGGGTGGGATGGAAAGCACCCCTTGGACGTGGCCCTATGCAGATCTACGTGCAAAGAGGTGTCTGGCTGCCCTGAGGAGTGCCCTCGGGGGATGACAGTGCTTCCCAGCAGGGAGGGAGGCATGGCACCCTTGAGTGCAGTCAAATAAAAGGGACTTGTGGCCATCAGAGCCCAGAGCAGAGTGATGCCTGTGGATGTCCCTGAGCTGGTTTGTGAGGCCATGGCCCCAGGGCGATGCCCTGGGGTTGGCAGCCTGCCTGGGGAGCAGTCCAGTCCTGCCCCAGCCTGGCACTGCCCTCCCACCACTGATCATTAGCCACCCTTATCTGTTGGTGGGTTCAAGGACACACACAAGGACTGTTGTCCCCATCTTGAGCAGAGCTGGGGCTGTGCTGGAAACAGCAGGGCTTGGACCTGCTGACAGCTTCTGCAATGGCCCTGCATCTCAACAGAGCCGTGTGCTTGGCAGTTGTCCCTGTCCCTCCTGTCCACTCTTGTTCTTGCTTCCCCAAGAGACCCACCTGACCCTCCATACCACTCTGGGGTGGATGAGAGATGTGCCAGCCTGTGCCAGTTGTCAGTACCCACTGTGGTTAGTACTCTCAGAGGATGTGTGCCTGGAAACACCAGCCCAAGCCATCTGCAGAGCTCTTCAAGGATAGTGCCAGCCTGGGGGGGGTCAGAGGCAGGTGCTTGAGCCCTGTTGGTGCTGAGGGGTCCCTGGGATGGGTGCAGAGTGTGCTGGACATATGCAAGGCAGCATCAAAGCGAGGAGGGACTGATCAAGCCCCAGTGCTGGCCCTGTCCCATTTATCCTGCTGTGCTCTGGTGCATCGCAGCTGATGTCCCGCCGCATCTATGGCCCTATCTGGAAGTCAACCTTCGGGCATTATGAGAACATCAACATCGGGAGCCCTGTGGTGCTGGAGCAGCTGCTACGGCAGGAGGGCAAATACCCCATGAGGAGCGACATGGCCCTGTGGAAAGAGCATCGGGACACCCGGCACCTGCCCTATGGACCCTTCACTGAGTGAGTCCTGCCTTAGCTGTGCTCTGCAGAGCAGCACGCGATCCTGTCCCTTCCTTAGGTGTAGGGACTGGGTGGCAGCTCACATTGCTCCCTCTCCTGCAACAACGTATCCCCCCAAGCAGAAGGGCATGCCCGTGGGGGGTGGAAAGACCTCCGGGGTGGTTCCAGCTTGGCGTGGGGAGGATGCACCCAGGGACTGGGAAACTGCTACCAGCCGCTGCCCCTGCCGTGTCCCGGCGCTGAGCCCCGTCCCCGTGCAGGGAAGGGGAGCGCTGGTACCGCCTGCGCCAGGTCCTCAACAAGCGGCTGCTGAAGCCCTCGGAGGCGGTGCTGTACGCGGACGCCATCGGGGAGGTGGTGTCAGACCTGATGATGCGGCTGCGGGACGAGCGGAGCCGCAGCCCCTCGGGGGTGCTGGTGGAGGACGTGGCCAACCTGCTCTACCGCTTCGCACTGGAAGGTAGGAGGGTCCTCACCCCTGCCCCTCTCTTCCCATCCCCGCGGGGTTCTGGATTCATCCTGTCCCCCACAGGGATCTCCTATATCCTCTTTGAGACTCGCATTGGGTGCCTGAAGCACCAGGTCCCCACCGAGACCCAGCGCTTCATTGACTCCATCAACCTCATGTTCAAGAACTCCATCTTTGCCACCGTCTTGCCCCGCTGGAGCCGCAAGGTGCTGCCCTTCTGGGACCGCTACCTGGACAGCTGGGACACCATATTTGCCTTTGGTGAGCAGTAATGATGAGGGCCCAGCACGATGGGATCAGTCTCCCTAAGGATGCTCAAAAGGGGGCACATGTCCTTTTGGCCACCTCACTCTTTCAGCACTGAGTCCCACTCTCTGTCCTCGCAGGCAAGACCCTGATTGACCGAAAGATGGAGCAGCTGGAGGGGCAGGTGGAGCGGGGCAAGGAGGTGTCTGGCTACCTGAGCTACCTGCTGGCCAGTGGCAGGCTCAGCCTGGATGAGGTCTATGGCAGCGTGGCCGAGCTGCTGCTGGCAGGCGTGGACACGGTGAGAGCCGGGCAGCTGCTACCAAGGAGCCCCCACTGCTCCCTGCCAGAGGAGAGGCACAGGGCCATTCTCAGCCATGAGTCCTAGACCTGTGAGCCCTGGGCTGGTGGCTGGGGGCTGATGGCTGACAGGACAAACCCTCACTGCCGACCCTGTCCTCCCCTCTGCTTCCTGCCTCAGTTTCCCCCATGCTTGCTGCCCCCTCACCGTTGGCTTCCCTGAGCACTGGAGCACAGGCTGGCTGGTGCTGTATTGGTGCCATGCTTGGCACCAGACTGCATGGGTACTGGCCCAATCTCCCTCACTCCCTTTGGCTCTCTGCTCCCCCAGACCTCCAATACGTTGTCTTGGGCCCTGTACCACCTCTCCCGGGACCTAAGCATCCAGGAGACCCTGTACCAGGAGCTGAAAGCCGTTGTGCCTCCCGACCGGTTTCCTGGTGCTGAGGATATCCCCAAGATGCCGATGCTTCGGGCCATTATCAAGGAGACACTGAGGTACAGCCCAGCCTTGCTGCTGCCCTAAGGTCCTGGTCACCAGCCCCTTCTCCCCTGCATGAGGGGATGCACCAGCCAGGCAGGGTGCAGGGCTGGGTTTCAGTCCCCTGGGGCCGCTTTCATCCATGTCCTCCCTGGGGAGTGGGATTGAGCCGCTGAGCAGCAGGAGATGCTCCTCCAGGTCCTGTCCTGCCTGTGGCTCTCTCCTCTGGGATCCCCAGATGGGTCCTTCTCCCCCACCAACTCTCCCCATATCCCAGGGTCTACCCTGTGGTGCCAACCAATGCCAGGGTCTTCTATGAGAAGGACATTGTCATCGGAGACTACCTCTTCCCCAAGAACGTGAGTGGGAGCCATGACACAGGGACCCCTGCTGTGTTCAGTGGGGCTGGGCAGAGGTCATTAACCCCCCCTTCCTGCTCCGCAGACCCTCTTCGTCCTGGCGCACTACGCCATGTCCCACGATGAGACCTACTTCCCTGAGCCCGAGCGGTTCCTGCCCCAGCGCTGGCTCCGTGGCCATGGCTCCCCCCACCACCCTTTCAGCTCCATCCCCTTTGGCTACGGGGTCCGTGCCTGCGTCGGTCGCCGTATCGCTGAGCTGGAGATGCACTTGGCCCTCGCCAGGGTGAGCAGGAACCCCCACCCCGGGTAACTTGTCACAAGTTGGGATAAGGGGCCCCAGGGACCCCCCCGAGGCACTGCCACCCCCCTTCTCCTCACAGATCGTCCAGGCCTTCGAGGTGCGGCCAGACCCCAGCGGTGTGGAGGTGACATCTGTGTCCCGCATCGTCCTGGTGGCTGACAAGCCCATCAACCTGGAGTTCATCGCTCGCCCTGGGGCCCCTGAATGTGTGCCCACCCCTCAGCCTGGGTGCTGAGGGGGGACCCCACTGCCCCACCAGCAGGGGCAGGAAGGCAAACGCACCTCAGTTTGGGCCAGTGGGCTCCCAGCCCTGCTGTGGGAAGATGGGAGGGATGAGGGATGCCCACACGTCGCCCCTGGGGCACTAGTATCCCCTACCCCAAATCAGCAGGAGGTTTGGGGAACTGCTGTGCCTTTCACACGCTGCGAGGGCTTGTGTCCCCCAATCCTGTGCCCAGCCGGGCTGCGCTGGGGACCTGGGAACTCTGCCGGGGTTGGGGGGAGGCAGGGAGGGGGCTTGCAGCCGTTCAGTGTCTCCTTCGTCCCGTCCTTGTGTAGCTGCGCGTGGATCTGTGCCTGGAGCCAGGACATCTGGGTCCTCTTGAACAGCTGATTTTGGTCTCAGCCAAATCTCCATGCCTCAGTTTCCCTCCCTGCCTCCCAGAAGAGGCTTGAGTGCTTGTGAGGGGGTTTGGGGTTTGTGCCTGATCACGATGGATGGAGCCAGCTCTGGCTCTGGGCAAGTGGAACACTAAGCACATCCCTGTGATGGAGAGGAGGCTTGTCACCACCCGGCACTGGTATCATGTCCTCTGGCAGGGCTAGCCTGCACAGGAGGGGTGTGAAGCACCCAGCACCTTTTGCCTATCAGCCATTATTTGACTGAAATGCTGATAAGGGGTCACAGGAACGGGGACAGGGCTTGCTATGGGCAAAGCAAGGGAAGGAGGATCACCTCAGCTGCCCCCCTGTCCCCATCTGGGAACATGGGGCTGACATCCAAGGCCATTGCAGGATGCACCGCCACTTGCCCAGGCTCCTGGAGGGATGGCATATGGGACATCCTAGCAGGGAACCCCCGTCACCTTCCTGCTGTTTGGGGATCCTAACTAGGCTGGGGGAAGCAGCAGGCAGAAGCTTTGCAGGCACCAAGGCCACCATCCCCACTGGGACATGCACACCACGGCCATGGTGGAGTTATCAAGGCTGCATGCCCATTCCCCTGCTCCTACCCACATGGGCAGAGGTGCCTCCCTGTGCCCATGACACCCTTGCTGGCATCCCAGATCAGGTCCCCCAACCCAGCTCCCATCCTCAGCCTGGCTCTGTCCGCAGGACCCATGCCCAGCTGCACTGGTCAGAAAGGTGAGGCAGCAGTTCCTGGAGCAGGCTGCTTTGTTGCAACAAGGCTGAACAGACCAGAAAGTAAACAAATACCCCCAGCACACCCCAAACCATTCACAGGGTCCCCATGCAAGTGCCATCCTGGCGCCAGCTCCAGGCACCTCCAGCCCTGCGTGACCCTGCTGTAACAAGTGTGTGTGTGCAGCTGAGCCTATGCTACCGGGCACCGGGCGCAGCTGGCATGACTGCGCTTGCTGGGGATGGAGCCATGGCCAAAGCGCTCCAATCCAGCAACAGGACAGGAGCAGGGTGGCCAAGTCCCAAGGGGCTGTGTGGGTCCCCGTGCCCAGCTGTGGGCATGTACAGCTCCTCCGGCACAGTGCCCATTGAGCATCACTGTGTGCTTGCTGGCGGGAGGCATCTCTGGACCCCTTTTCCCCTCTCCCTGCCTTCCTGAGGCCAGCAGGATCTGGCCCCAGACTCAAGACAAGCCCCAGGACTCTGATGGGCAGGCAGGTCCTCCCTGCAGAGAGCCTCCGGAGCCTGAAACTCCTTCTACGGCCCCAGAGCCATGCAAGTGGGCCCCACATCGGCCTAGAGGGTGGCACTTCCCTGGTGTCTTGAGAGTGAGGATCGGTCGGTGCCTGCAGGGTGAGAGAGCGTGTGAGGCCATAACACCTGCAGGCACTGGCGCCATGGCTCCCAAACTGTCCAGTGGACAGTGAGGTGTTGCCTCCATCCCTGGCTTGGTTGCAAGCCCTGGGGTATGACGGGAGGGGGACTGGCCCAGAGGGGGACATCCCCATGGCCACTTGCAGCTCCTGACACAGCCACCCCTGTGGACACCAGACATGGGGTGAGCAAATGCATCATGATGAGGAGGGTACCGTGTCCAGCGTGGTTAACACACGAGTCCCAGTTGCCTTCTATGTGGAGTGTCTGGGCACTGCTGGGGCAACTGGGGGGCCTAGGGCTGTCCCAAGCCTGTTCCCTACTATCCCCCCAAAAAAGCTTCAGTAGCTTTGGGAAATAGCTGGGCATTGGGGCCAGGTTCCCCCTCCTCAGTCCACCCCTAAGGAGGGCTCTGCTAGCCATGGCCCATGGGCCAGCCACACTGTGTCCATGGCTAGTGCTGGGCAGCATGTCCAGGGTATGTGAGTGGAGATCTGTCCCCACTGTGTCCCCTGGGAATGGCACTGGAGGTTTTCAGGTCTTATGGGGGACTTTGAAGGGAGGTCACAAAAGAGCTTTTCTCTTAGGGCGCATCACACTCCCAAACCCTCACCCAGCTCAAAGCCCAGGGACCTGCAAAATCCGCCTCTGACACTGCCTGGATGAGGGTCTGGGGGTGTATCTGTGGCAGATGCCCCCATCCTGCCTCACAAACACCAGTGCTCAGAAGCCCATAAGGAGCCCCTGTCATCTTTGTGTCCCCTGGGACAAGCAGCATCCGAGTCCTGCTGTCCCCACCTGGGCACACAGTGCTGCAGGACCCCAGCCCCAGCTTCCTCCATCCCCAGGCCAGTTTGGCTGGGGAGGATGCAGGTGGCCGCAGCAGGGAGATGATGAGGTGCAAGTGACCCAGTGGTGGGGAGGGGACAGGGATGCAGTGGCAGGGGACAGCGCCTACCTGAAATGGAGAGAAATGGAAGGTGCAAGTGGAGAAAGTCGAGCGTTGTAGGCTAAGAGTTAAGAGCATCGATACCTGCCGGAGTGAGCACAAGGGCCTGGAGGATGTCAGAGAGGGAAACAATGCCCCGTGGGTACTGGTTCTCATCCACCAGAACCAGGCGATGGACCTGTGGGTGCAGGCAGAGCATCACAGACAGGTCGGGCAGCAGGCAGAGGGGGCTGGCGCTGGTGCTCACCCTGGCCACTCACCTGCTCCTTGGTGATGCGGTCAATGATGTCCTCCATGGTTTCATGGGGGTAGCAGGTTAGGACACCCTCCAGACAGACAGTGCGCTGCTGCAGTGCCTCCCGGACACTGATGTCCAGGTTGTTGTAGGTCTTCTGGGCAGCCAGGTGCTGCGTGAGAGGTGACCACGCTCAGTGCCCCAGTGTGTCCTTGCACCCTGTTGTGCTGGCACAGCGTGGGACACTGAGCCCTGGGGATGCATAGGGCAGATCTGCACTGGCAAGTGGGTGTCACTGCCCTAAGGTCCTGGTCCCCAGCATGGGCACAGACAGATGTGTGCACCCCAACAGTGGCATGTAAGAAGCCACGCTTGCGCCTGGGTGTGTAACACACAGGTACTCACAATGACGTCAAACCGGGAGTAGAGGCCGACCACTCGCCCTGCAACGAGAGAGTGCAGGGGCTGAGGAGAGGGCGCTGGGCCCTACCTGCTGAGCTCCCCCCGCACCCCAAGGAGCAGCCCAAGGGCTAGGAAGGGGGTTTTGTGTGGGGACGGGCCCAGAGCCACTGGCAGAGGGAGATGGGGTTTCACCAGTGCCCTCTCCAGGTACCAGCATCGTTGATGACGGGCAGGGCGGAGACACGGCGGTCCACAAAGATCTCCAGAGCAGAGTAGATGGGGGCGGTCTCATGCACAACAGCCACATCTCGGAAGGTACCAACACACAGCTCCTGCACTGTTCTCTTCAGGAAGTGTGGCTTGGGGATGGTGGAGCCCTGCATCGGGGCAGGGCAGGGCAGCACTGGCACCTACACACTCCCCAGCACCCTTCCTTGTGCCCATACCCATCCACCTCATGCATGCACATGCAGCTCTGGCACTCACGAAGATGTGGAGGAACTTGAGGATGCGCTTGTGTGTGAGGATGTGCAGGACATTGCCTGAGATGGGCTCAATGACAGGCAGGCGGTGGATCTTGTGCTTGATCAGAGAGTAGACAGCGTCGAAGAGGCTGCAGGTGATGGGGACAGCATGGGGGGATAGGGCTGCATCCCGGGCACCGCCCCCCCCCCCCCCCAAATGTGTGCTCTCCCACAGTGGGCAGGCTCTCACCTATTGCTTGGGGAGATGTAGACCAGTGGCTTGAGGGAGCCCTGCAGGTAGACGTCTACCAAGGGAGAGAGGTGAAAGAGGGGGTCCCCCAGTTCCCCATCCCCCTCATGCAACCCCGGAACCCACCTCCATGTGCTACACAACACCCCCATCACCTCCTACTATTTACCTCTCCAGGTTTCAATCTTGTGCTCCTCCACCTCGTAGATCTGAACCTGAGGGCAAGGAGATGCCCTGGTCATGGTGGCCCCACGGACACTCTGCCCCCTTCCCCTGGCATCACACCCCATCACCGTAGGAACAGGGATCATATCTTTGGTGCCAGGCAGAGGGGCAGCAAGCAGCAGACATTGGGCTGGTCCAGAGCAACCCCTGGTCATGGTGCAGCGATGAAGTGCAGACCAGGGAAAGGAAGAGGGGACCGGGGAGGTGGGGACAACCCCTCCCTGCATTATGCCTGCCCCGACCCCCATGCTCTCCCTGCTGAACTCACCAGGGGTGAGCGGTAGTAGCGGTGGAGGATGTTGATGAAATCGGTGATGGTGAGCATCCCTGCAGAGACACGTGGGGCTGGCAGCGCTGCCAGGCGGAGGAAGGGGCCAGGCGGCGCTGCTGACACTCACCCACAAAGCTCTGTGTCTTGCTGTCCCAGAGCGGGGCCGCTCGCACCCCGTTGGCCACCAGTGCCAAAAATGCTTTCTTGATCTGCTGGGGGAGTGGGGAGGGTGTCAGGGCCCCCCTGAGCCCGCTCCTCCCCTGCCAGTCCCTGCTGATCCCCCGCTTTGTCACCTCCAGGGAGATGTCAAAGACAACGAGTTTGCAGCTGGTGGGAATGGCATCGTAGCAGCAATGGCTCCTCATGAAGTGCATGTAGACCTCAGCATCAGGGCTCTGGAATTCGCTCCCTGGGCCCAGTCCCAGCATCATGTTGGCCAGTGAGAAGGTGACAGGCCCTGGGCTCCTTTGTCTGTCCTCTTCTTCCTCCTTCTCCCTGGGGCACAAAGCTTCTGGGAATCCTGCGAGCAAACCCACCCCAAAGCTGGCCAGTGAGCTGAACTACTGGGTCTCAGCACCCTCCTGCCTGGGGGAAGCAGGGAAATGCTGCAGACCCCATTCCCCACAGGGGCAGCACACAGCCCTGCAACTCTACAGTCTTGGCAGGGGCACTGGGAGCTGCTGGGAAGGAGCTGAGGGGTAGGGTGACGAGTGGTACGGGCAGGGTTGGGAGAGGACCGATGCGCTCATTGCATGAGTGAGCCAGCCGCGTACCCCCCCCCGGTACACTCCTAGGAGCTGCCTGCTACCCACCTTCCTCCTCAGGGCGGGCAGCGGCATCCAGCAGCGCCACCTGAGGGGGCACACAGCGAGGGTGTCATCAGGAGCCAGCCACCCCCAGCTGCTGCCTGCACGCATCCTGATGCCCTGCCCCCCCCCCCCCAAGCCGGGCAGAGGGGACCCTCCTTTTAGGGTATGCATGCAGGCTGGGCTTAGGGTCTACATCCCGCTTCAAAACCCCCAGTGCTCGCAGCCCCTGCGGTGGCTCCAGCCCAGAATGTTCAGCTTGTCTCCCCAGTGTTGCGGGGATCGGCAGGGTCCCCGGCTCAGGACGGAGGCTGGCAGGAGAGCCCAGCTATTCTTTCTGCCGTCGGAGCCGAGCGCGTCCAGCAGCTGCTCTGCGCCCATCCTCTCTCTCCCTCTTCCAAACCCAAGGTAGAAATCCCAACCATGCTTCTTCCCGTGACGGGAGCCAGGTGGGCCCCGGGAGACCCTACAACAACGAGGGGGGCACCCCCAGGCGGGAGGGAAGCGAGGCCAGCTGACCCCGTGCCCCGCGGTCCCCAGGAAACCCTACCATAACACAGCGGTTATAGAGCCGGCCTTTACGAGCCACCCTGCAATAACAAAGGCGCCGGGACGGCTCCCTGAGGAGCCCGGAGCCAACCCTGGGGGAGAAGCGACCCTTCCCGAGGGGCTGGGGACAGCCGCGGCAGGCAGGCAGGCGGGCGGGCCTCTCCGTGTCCTTGTCCCCACGGCGGCCTGGACGCGGGAAGGGGACCGACGGCCCCCTACATCCCCCCACCCCGGGGGTGGCCTGCTCCCAAGCGGGGGGCTCTCGGGCCGGGCTCCCCACCCGCCCCGGCGGTACCTGGGACGCGGAGGGGCCGGGGAGTCTCTCCATGCTGACTGCGGGGCAGCGCTGCTATTCTGGGCCCGCGGCTGGCGGGGCCCTGGCAGATAGGGTGACAGCGAGCAATGCCAGCCATGCCCCCGCCACCGCCGGGGGGGGGGGGGGGCGGCACACGGACGCTGCCACCGCTGTGCAGCTCCCGCGGCCGCTGCGCCGACTCGCGACCCGGCAGCACCGGGCTGGAGGGGTTGCTGTGGCCTGGGGACGGGAGGGAGTGGGTGATGCCGGTATGCTGAGGGCAAAATGCTGCCCTCCCGCTCCTAGGACCCCCATCCCCCCGACGCGGAGCTCAGCTTGCCCTGTCCACCCTGCCCGGCGCCCCCCGACCCCATCCGGCAGCAGGAGCGGGTGGCGGGCACAGCATCCTCCGCGGATGATGGAGGGCAGCATCCAGCCGCGAGATGGATCGACTGGGGTCTCTGACAACTGCTGGGGACACTTTGCCCCCGACGCTACCTCAGCCCTGCCTCCCCGGTTCCACCGTCCCCGGCCACCCCGGGTCTCCCTGCCGGGGAACCTCCATCCTCACCCGCGGGGCCACCCTCGTCTGCCCACCCTCCGCTCACTCCCGGCTCCATTGCTATTTCAGGAAGGTTCAAATAACCCTTGGCCGGCTGCCGGGCCAGCCCTGGAGCAGCCGTGGGTGAGCGGGCCGGTGGCTGCGGGGCCAAAGTGGCCCCGGCTGACTCCCGGGGGGACAGTTGGACTCTGGCCCGCGGCCGGGTGCAAGGACCAAGCTGCTGGTGCAACCCCAGGAGGAAGAGTAACGGGGAGATGGAGGGCTTGGTGCTGGGGACAGGCCAGCAGGGCTGGGGTTACAGGAGGACACAGTGCTAGCCCTGGCCCCGGTGGCCCTTGTCCCGCAGCGGTGCGGGGAGGGGGACTGGATGGGGCAGACTCTTACAGCTGCGCCGATCCTGGCTCCTGCCTGGGCACCGCCGGGTGCTGGCAGCGGGGAAGGGAGCAGGCATCTCCACTTTCGGAGGCTATTTTCAGGTGCTGGAGAGAAGCCGACGAGCGAAGAGATTGTCACCAAGGAGACAGGAGAAACAGAGCCCAGCTACAGGCAGCAGGGGGCTGCGGAGAGAGGGGAGGGAAGGGCTTCCTGCAAGCCCCAGGGCCTGCACAGAGAGCTCAGCACCGACCCCAGCCCCAAGTAATGCCCCAGAAGTGCCCAGCATCACCCTGGCAGGCGGTGAGACAACACCTGAAAACAGCAACAGACAGCTCAGGGGAACACAACTCTTCCTTCCCCTGCTGCAGGGCTGGGCTGCTCTGTCCCCGCTGGTCAGTGACCTGCAGGAGAGGCCCAGGACGTAAGACAGATCCCAGCTATGCTGGGAACTGCTCCCCCATGCAGCCATAGGGCAGCAAGAACGACCCCGAGCTCAGGGAAGGATACAGAACGGTGGGGTGGTGGCACAAACCCTGCCTGCACCAGAGCCTGCTGAAGAGGGGGGAGAGCCAAGCTGCTCTACAGATCCAGAAGTGTCAGGGAGGCCCTGATGGGGGCAGATGGAGGCCAGGAGAGCAGCTGAGTGCTAAACTTTAATAAAAATCCTTAAGAAACAAAGGGAAAATAGCAGAGCCCAGAAGAAGAGCACCAGCCTGCAGTCCCCACACGGATGCTGCAGGCCACCGGGGAGAGCTAGCAGCCCTACTGTCCCCACAACAAACCCCACAGCTGGTACCCATGGTCTCTCTGATGTGCATGACCCAAGCTCCACCCAGGTCCCAGGGCTTGGCAGGGAGCAGCAGGGAGGATGTTGGTGCAGGTGTTGAGAAAGGATGAAATGGGTCATTTTAAAGACCCTGCTTCTTCCAGAGGAGCAGAGTAGGGAGTGGCTGGGGACTTCTCCAGGGGATGAGCTGAAGTGGGGCAGGTGCAGACTCAGCAACCCACAGCTCATGGAGACACAGGCAAACAAGGGCTCAGCCCATGCTGGTCAGGAATGGGAAGGCCAGGCTGACTCCAAGCTCAGCCAGCTACTATGCAGCAAAGAAACCACCATGTCAGGCTTTAAGAGCAGCCTAGGAAAAAGGCCAGACAAAGCTCAAGTGCCCAGCTTTGCTACTTTTTTTAACAATGGAAGTCACACCAGTCTCTTCATTACTCAGTAGAACATCCCTCTCTAAAAACAGCCCCACAAGCAAGTGTGCAGTGCAGGTGGCTCCCACAGTCCTTGCTCTCTGGAGCCAGCTTCTGTCTCTTCCTTTGAGGTAGGTTAAGGTGTCCCAGGGAGGGACCGCAACTGCCTGGTCACATCACCAAGGTGGTGTCAGAAAGGCAGCCAGCAGGTTTCTGGTTGGCTCCACCACTGCACTTGTTGAGAGGTAATTTCTGAGCAGAGCTGGGCTCCAGGCATCTCTTGAGGCCCTCACCAGCTGAAGACAGGAGCATGCTGCAGGAGAAAGGAGACCCTGTGCTGCTTAGGGACAGTGAGAAAGGATCAAAAGGGCCATGGTGCAACATTCATCTACAGTATCATTATACACAGACAGGGCTGCCAGGCTCTCTTACTCCATCTCCTATCCCAGGCAGCACTACTCACCCCAATGGACATCCCAGGCACTGATGGGACTTCAGAGTCACAGCTTGATCTCCCTGCCTGCACAAAAACCCAACTCCATCCTGGCCTGGGCACAGCAGCAAGAATGCCATTCCCCCTAATACCAGAGACCAGGGGTGTGGGCCTGCCCTCCACTTTGGCTCACCCAAAGGAACCCCAGTCCACCTTTCTGCAGGAAGCTCTCAGGGCCAGCAGCACCCATTTTTCAGCCCAGCTTTGCCCAGGGAAGCTGGCAGAGTGTGGCAGACCCGGAGGCCTCACTGCTCCTCCAGCCCCACACTGAAGCAGAGAGCCTCTGCTCACCACTGGCCACATCAGAGCCCACAGAAATGGTGCAGGTACCTCTGGGGGACATCTTTTCAGCATGTCCTGACCATGACAATCCCAAACATCACCCACTCCTGGCTGTTCTGGGCCTCACTCCCACCCAAGCTGGGTGCACAGTGCTGAAGAGACATGTCCAGTCACATAGACATCATTCCAGCCCCACCAGTTGGCTCCCCAGGGAGCAGAGACTGGCTGCAGAGCCTGTAAGCCAACCTACTCCTCTCCCCTTAAACAAAGCTGCTTTCCCTGCTGCCACGTCTCTCTCAAGACACCAATCCTAAAACCACACTGAGTATCATGCACGTCACAGCCACTGCAAACTCACCCCAGATTGCCCAGTTCCAGTTTGCTGAAGCCATTTGATTGAACATTGCTCTTCTGGAGGAAGAAAGACTTTGGCAGTGACCACTGCAGGAGGAGAGAAAGACAATCAAATGGCTATTTCAGTTGTGGCAGTCTGCTGTGCTCTGCTCTAGTGTGCTTCAGCCTCACTCTGCTGTGCATTGTCACTGCTACCACACTGTTCCCAGAATAGCAAACAGAGCAGTCTTTGCTCTCTGCTTGATGAATCCCTCTGTTGTAAGTGGGAGCAGAGCATCTCGAGGTCAAAAGAGTGGGTTTCTTTCACTGGATCAGCTTGCTGTAAGGCACAGGAGTGACAGACAGAGATGGCTCCCTCAAGGAGGGGAATAAAGGGCAGGCCAGTTGCCAAATATGTAGGGCTGTGCCTAACACACCCAAGGATATTCAGATGCAAAATACTTCAAGATCTGATACTCTTGGTGGACTCCACTTTGGTGGGAGATAGGGAAACATGTGAGTTTCCAGACTCCTGGAGGCCTTAAGAGGGCAAACGGGTAGGGCAGGAGGTAGAAAAAGCAGGTGCTCTGCCCAACTCTACCCAGGCAAACCACCACCTCTCCCTAGCTCATCCACAGCCATACGCACCATCTGGGCTAAATCCGTCCCTGCCCCAGTGTGGTACCCTTTGACACACCAGTTCTTCAGTAGCTCCAGACCTGGGGAGTGACAGAAAAGAAGTGAGAATGAATGACCAAGTTCACAGAGAGTTAAGCCTTCCCTGATCAGGGGACACAAATATGCTGCACGGAGTGAACTGCCCAAGCAGTACATGTTAAGCCACAACTACTTGACCACGTGCCTGAGCCCAGCAAACACGGGGTAAATCAAGGGTGTTCACCCTTTGTACGAGCGAGCAGCAGCATGTGTGCTGCCGCAGTGCTGCCTCCCTCCCAGGGAACCACACACACTGTGCAGCAGGCTCAGCCAAGCAGGGAAACTGGGGCAACACAGGATTTGCCAAATGAGACCAGACTGGGCTGTCCCCCTGAGCCCGGTGCCTGCCAACGGCAGCATCTGATTTGGGCTGCACCCGTGAAAGTTCCTATCGTACAAATGTAGAGCAGCTTTGCTGTCACCAGCCCCTTTCCCAGAGGAGAGCAGCTCAGGCAACCTTCTCCTTGCACAGCACTCTGCAGCACCCCAGCACATCATCTCCACCTTGCATGGATCCATCTGGAGCTTGACATGATCTCCATCCCTGACAGAGCGCAAGGCTGGCACAGACAGAGCTCAGCACAGATGTGACTGGAAAGGATCATTCCTCCAGCTGCACAGAAGACACGCTGCTCAAGAGCAAGCAGAGCCATGTGTCCAACTGCACTGAACAGGCTCCACTTCCTCCAAAGCCTCCTCATGGCCATCCTTACCTCAATCAAGCTCCCTGCTTTCTGCTAACCCAGAAATACTGTGAAAGCCCAGATTGCTCCCTTCCTGTTTGATTTTTTAAGAGCTTTAGAGCCATAACACAAGCTAAGGGGCCTTGAGATTTAAGAACCAGCAGAGCTAATGGCCAGGAACTTGATGCTGTCCAGCTGGGGTTACTGTGATTTGCTATATGATACTAGCCCTGGCTATAGGATGAATCCTTGCTGTCCAGACTCTCCTCTTCAGTGACCTTTCAGCAAGCCCCAGAACCTTGGAAGAAAACCCCACGTGTTTGGGTCTATGGGGAGCAGGGCAGCTCAGCAGCTATGCTCTGGCTCTCTGCACCAGCCCGGGCTTTGCACCTTGCTGACCGGGGAGGCAGGAGGGCTACAAGGAACATATATGAATGGGAATGGGCAAGGGGGAGGCTGGGTTTTCCTCAAACACGAAGAACAACGAGGGGATAGAGCACATCTGCTCCCTGGGCTGCTTTGGGGAAGATGGAGCACTGGCCTGAGTGGCAAGGTTCAGGGCAGCACTTCAGTGCAGACGATGACAGGATCTTTCCTTCAGCTGACAGCAGGGCATCCAGCAAAGGTATTACCGAGGCAAAGGATGACACATGCTGACAGCACAGCTGGAGAGGACTATGAGGTTACTATCTCCCTGTGAAAGACTGTTACTGACCCCTTTGATATTTGCTTTAACACCAGTGAAAAGTAATAAAAGCATATTTTTTCTTCTCTGCCAGCTCCTGCAGAAGCCTCTCCAGCCAGATCAAATGCTAAATGGAGAGCCATGAGCCTCTACTTCTGCCCTGACAGAGACAGCCCTGGGTGAGAAGGTACTGGTCCAGCCCACCTATGCTTCATTAAAGAATGGGGTTTTATTAAAATACAGAGTTGAGTCCTGGAAAGATGGAAATGATAGCTAGATTTCTAGTGTTTAGGAAAAATTCCTCTGTGTTCACACTGACAGTTTTTCATTGATTAGAAAGCAGCAGGAGACCAGGGAATAGGCCAAAGTTTTCCTTCACAGATCACCTGTAATGAGCAAAGCCCAGTGACTCCAGCTGTTTCTTCCTCAGAAAAGGGCAGATGAAGAGAATAAGAGGCCTGAGCTATCCAGGTTGAAGGCATAATCCCACCCTCCTTCAGCCTCAGGGCACCTAGAAGTCCTGCATTTACCTTACCAGAGCAGTCAGCACCTCTGATTAACTCAGAATAAGCTTTTTGTGATATCTGAAGCAGTCTGGGAGGGTAACACATTTCCTATGGCTAGCGTGCAAGCAGGCAGCTCCCCCTCAACATGTGTAGCTTACAACTCTCCCACGACTGCCGGCAGGCAGCCTGCCTGACTCAAGTGCCTGTGCCAGGCTCTCAGATGCAGTTACCTTTGTGTTTATTCAAGTAGTATTTGAGCTCCCACTGGGTCACCAGGATGTTGAAGTAACGAGGCTGCTCGAAGAAGTGCAGGTACCGCATGGAGATGTGGGTGGGGAACACCCGCTCGAACTGCCCACACCGGGAATATTCGTCCTCTGTCTCCACAAGGATGCGAACATCATCTGGGGTCAGGATGTCCAAGACAGAAGAATAAAAATCCTGAAGACAAGAGTAATCCAGGGTCAGGGAAAAGCCAGGAAGAAGCAAAAATACGTTTTGTTGGCTTCCCTTCTCCCCTCCTCACTCCTCAGAGTCCCTCAGGCAGAGGTCTCCATCTGTCTCGGATATCTGGGACACACAGAAAATGGAGAAAATCTAGGCTCAGTGGTGACAGCAACACTGATGGAGCTGAGGAGGTCCCCAGTTCTGCAGCCCAACCTGTCTTACAGATACTGTTGGGTGGCACACAAAGCAAGTGTCCTTGATAACCTACATGGGGTCAGCAGGCAAAGGCTACAAGAGCTGTGCAGAGACACAGGAGGATCAGGCCAATGCTCAGACCTAGTCTGGGGACTGGCGGGTAACGTGCTTCTCAGTACATGCCTATTTTAATGTAAAGATGAGCCAGTGCAGCAGTGGCTTAAGCAAACCCAATTTATTTCTGACCAGCTATCTTGTAACCCACTGGAGTCCAAGTGCTCCCCATTGTGTGGCTGTCCCCACAGAGGGGCACAATCTGGAGAGAGACAAGGGCTGGCTGGGATGGTGGCTTGACAAGATGGCACAAGTATCAGAGGAGACTGTTATACCTGGTCAGGTATCTTCTGCATCAAGTAATAGACCTTCTTCATCTTCTCAGCTATGAAATGCTCAGACACTGGCTTGGGCTTCTCCTTCAAAGCACTGCCCATACTGAGGATACAAAAGAGGCAGCAAAGCATTTAAGTGCAGAAGACAAAATCCTGCCATGGCAGAGCTGTTCCCAGCAACTTCTGTGAGAGCAGTGACACCCTCAGGAAGATGCCACGGAGAATCCTTTCTCTAAGGATTTCACTCATTCCAAGATTAGCGATGTACTCACAGCCTTGTGCATCAACACAGGACCCAGGAATGATGTGGAGAGGGGAACTGGGAGGGCCCTGCCAGTTTCCCACTAAGGCATTTCAACATTCCTCTGTTCAAAGGTCAAGCATCTCATCACACCCACACATGGTGCAAGAAGGCAAAAGACACACCGTGACCCAATTCACAGCACTTGTGAATTGGGTCACAGTGGGATCTCATGGGACCTCATGTTTACATCCTGCTTGGAATGCAGTTTCCTAACTATAACCATAGGTATGAGCACTTGGTATTGCACAAGGCAAGAGAGAACTCATAGATCCAAAACTTCCTCCTGCAACATTCAAGAACACTCAAGACCCAAATTCAGCTCCAGCTCCACATGCCATGGGAAATCCTGGCCTTTTGTACGATCTGGCTAGCAACCATCTAAACTATTCTAAGCACCCAACTGAACCACTTGAGGATATTAGAGCCTGGGAGATACTTGTCCAACACCTTTTAACCCTATATCAACATGGTTAATTTATGCTGCTGATGCAAAAATAATTAGTTGTGTGTGGATTCAAATGAGGAGAGCAAAGCCTCGAGGCTGTGCTCTGTGGTGCTCAGGAAATATACAGATCTGCTGGAATGATGCCTATATGAAATAAAAAAAAAACCTTAATATCCTTCCCAGGGCAGAAGATGTGATTAAGCAAACTTAATGCAGGATGCAGGAGCTCTGGTAATGCATCATCTGAACTATGTTAAGGAACTGCTTAATCCCTGCAGGTCCCTCTGAAAACACCTTCCCTTCAGCACCTCCACTGCAAGCTGGGAAGCAGTGTGTGATCAACGCACTGCAGATAAACTGGCGAGAGATTCCCGCCTGGAACAGGCCATGCTCCAAGCCTTAGGCTTTGCTGAAGGCACCAGGCAGGCAGAGGGCAAGAGTCCCACCTTTCAGCATGCCCATACAGCACCGTGTGCTGGTGCTCATGCCAGCAGGCTGCTCCTCCAGTTACTTACGGCCAATAGCCACTCTGCTGCAGGGAACAGGATTGGTTTCCCCCTCAGTCAAGTTTGAAACCAGTGTAAGCCCAAGCTGTGGTGAAACACAGAAGGAGCATGGGCCTAGGTGGACACATGCCTGGGAATTAGCCTTATGCAAGAAACAGTCATGTTAGCTACCAGGTAAGACAATGCACACTCTTACCCATAGGTCTACAGCCTCTGACGCCTGCAGTCCTGCCTAAGGAACAGATCACTTCAGACTCTGCAAAATAACAGGTGCTCCTCTAGCTTAAGGCAAAAGCACATCAGCCCTGGAGCAGAAGGTAAGCAGATCCAGCCTCAACACAGCCAACCAAACCTCCAAGCAAAAGCTGAAGCAGTGCAGCTGAGCATCACACTAGTTATGGCAGGAAGAAGGAGAAGAAAGCACAACTCAACTAATCTCAGAGAAAGCACAAATTACACTGGCTTCACTTCCAATTATGGACCAGCAGAGAGGTCATAAATCCTTCTGCCTTGCAGAGACCGCAGGAACCAAACACTCAGGCAATCATGCAAGGCCCTCAGGCCCATATTTGAAGGACCAGCAAGCACAGGCTCTCAATAGCATAAAAATAAGCATTTGCTGCGCTGCAAGCAGCCCCTACATTAAATCCTCCAAGAAAAAAAGCCTGCCACTGACAGAGAAGGGGGCTGACCTGGAGGTAGAACCACTTCTTGCCTGTGGCCTTGGGGCCACGCTGTCTGCGCTGGGAAGAACAAAGCCAGCAAGGTTGAGGAGGTCCCGGATCATCTGGCCCTTGATGCTCACATCCAGCGGGGAGTTGGTGTGAAGGCTGTGGGGAAGAAGCATCACAGTGCTAGAATGGAGGTACCAAGCCTCACAGCCCCAAGAACACACCCTGGTTTAATACCAACCGGGGTACAAAACCCAGTCTGTCGTTTGCCTCATCACAGACAGACATGAGACACTGATAGAAAAGTCCTGACAACAGCCCTTCGAATGGGGGCTCCCCACCAGAAACAGTTAATTTCTCTGCCTCTTCCCAGATTTGCTGGAAACAAGCAAATACATCCCTAGAGCCCTGTGTGGGACCATGACTCTGTGAGCAGCTCATCCTCATCCATCTCACAGGCAGGAGAGGCCATGCTCGGGTACAGTGCAGCTCCCAGCCGTGCCTGTGCAGCTGACACCACGCAGCTGGGTACAGTCAGCAAGCAAGAAGCGGTGCACGAGGCAGTGGAGCTGCTGATCACATCTACCCACGCAAAGAAATCTCTGCCATCACCTGCTCCCTACATTACACATCCCTCCTTGGTCTTCCTTTTTTAATGTACTCTTCCCTGGCTCTAGCTGGAGCATGCCCAGAGAAGCATTCTGAGATGCAGATGCATGCTGCTCTCACAAACAGGGAGGACTTTGATTCCTGCAATCTGGAGAGGAAGACTTCAAAGCCCACAGTGTTTTAGCACAGGGTGCAGGAGACATCATGAGCCAAATTCACTGTATGGTAAAAGAAAGGACATTATTCACTCTGCTATGGCTCAGAATCTGCTTTACCTTGGGGAAATGTTGACCTCTAAGATCCAGGGCTTGAGATTTTCATCCAGCATGATATCAAACCCAAACAGCTCATGGCAACAATATGGGCGTCGCACGTACATCTTCACCAGGCTGTTCACATAGGGCTCAGATCTGCAAGCCAAGGAAAAAATTCTTATTTCCAACAGTCAGACAGCAGAGCTCTGCCTGTTCACAGCACACACTGCCAGTTCCAAAAGCTTATGCAGACGCATGCTGCAGAAGCGGGTGGGCTGAGACACCAGTGAAGGCCTGTGAGCTGCTGCTGCACTGCATATGGAACCTGCGCTGCATCCTGAGCAGCCCTGCTCTACCAGGCAGGATCTGCTTCTCAACACAAAATCCATCCTGCACCAGAGGACCTTTCTTCTCAGGCACCCTGGCCAAGCAGGGGAGTGGGTGGCAAGCTGGGCAATGCTGGGTACACCCCACCCTTCTGGCCTCCCCCCCGGGACCCAGGAAATATAAGGTCTATTTACCCAGTGCAGTTACTGCAGCATGAGTGCAAGTAACAGAACGAAAGGAAAGATTCAGAGAGAAATACTGAAACCAACAGCAGCGGCAGCATTTAGATTAAAAGGACTGGGCTGAGAGGGGACTGGGGAGCCAGAGAGATCAGGGTGCACAACACAGCCAGGCACAGAGCAAGGAGTGCCAGGACTCACGCAATGATGGTTTTGATAACGATGTCCTTAATCTTCTCCCAGATGGCCTCACTATTAACTCCCTTTTGGTTCAGGTAACTCCAGAGAGCTTTGAGTGCCCTGGGAGAGAGAAAGTAAAGAAAGGAACTCTGTAGTCCATTGCTTCCCAGCCCTGCCAGGGGAGTGAAAGCAGCAGAGGGGAATCTTAACAAAACTCTTCCCTGGCACAGCCGTCCTTCTGCCATCCTCAACCCCTTAGCTTTTCATTGCTGACCTGCCCAGCTTCATTCCTGGTCTTGCAGGCCCAAGCTACCAGGAACATAAATGTGTCACAGACTTGTCCCAGCACTGGAGTAATAGGTCCCAAGTTAGCACATGACCAAGGTAAATCAGGACCAGATCTTTTCTTTACCCCACCTTCTTGTCCTCAGCAAGCCTCCCCTTCCTGCAAGCTTTCCCCCACAGCACTGCAAAGCAGCTAAGCAGGAATCCAGCAAGACCCCTCTGTTTTAGCTAAAGCCATTTCACTGAGGCTTTAGGGGTGGAGAAACATTTCTGAATGTGCTGAAAACAAGATGGTAGGGAGGAGCATCTCTGCTTTTATAGAAGTTTCCCACACCACACCAAGTGCTTCAAACTACCCTGACACTGAGCCAAGGATGCTCAGATGTTGCTCAAGTGAGACCATGTGGCTAATGGCCAGGAATCCAAAGGTCATGCTTCCTGCATACGAGATGGAGTATATTACAGCTACTCTCATCTTTAATGTGGAAACAACCAGCTTTGACTTGTATGGCAGTACCAAAACCCCACACAATCCCACCCCCATGGGATTTCAACTGCTGGGGGACATCAGCCTCTTCTCAAAGTCTCAGTGGACGAACAGATCACTGAACAGGAGGTCCAGGCCTGAGAAAGCAATCCTACCACAACAATCAAACTTCTTCAGTTCCCTCTGAACTGAAGTAGCCCTGCCCAGGCCCATGAATCGAGAACTCTATCCTGCACTATTTTTAAAAGATTTCAAACACCACTGTGGAATCAGAGACAAGTGCCTGGGGCCTTGGATCAGTCCCCCATGGGACAGCAAGGAACAGGAACTGCTGCCAGGCTGCAGCCCTTCTCCCAGATGCCTAGAAATGGCACTGCTGTTCCTATTCCCCCTGAGTAGCACATAAATTATTACAGTTTTGCACCAGGATGGTCCTTTTCTCTGCCTCCGCAGGGAAGTCAAGAATGAGATGGGCAGAAGCTGCCTTCTAGCCAGTTTAAGTATCACAATTACCCACTTGAATTCTAACAGCAAAAAATCAGATTCTGCTTTAACCACATCAGATCACCCTTGCAGTATGGCAAGCGGATGAATGAGCACAGATGAGAGCAGAGTTGGAAGCAGGGAACAGCACAGAAACAGGCAGGATGAACGACCACCACAGCCCAAGCAGCAGCAGACAGGACGAGTCACAAGCCAGGGAGAACATTCAGATTTCACTGACACTAACCCATGCTAAAATCACTGCTCTTCCAGTTTCCCCAGGCAGGAGCACAGAGTGCAGGAAGCACCTTCACTTTTCAGGTAAGAATACTGAAAAAAGGCTGACTTAACAGGGAATAGAAATTGCTGCCCTGTGCCCTAAAAGCAGCACCTACCACTTGTGTCCCTGACAAGCAGTCTCATCCGAGTTGGACTTGTACTCCGTGTTCTTCTTGTTCACACTGTAGTTGGTCAAGTGCACAAACTTGTTGCTGAGGCTCTTAATCGAGGAGGAATACCTGAAGGAAGCAACAGAAGCACAAGTAATCTAAGCTTGAACTGTCTGCCTTCAAGCCCATGGGGCAGTCAGAAACTCTTCTCATCTCAGACCACCCTTGGCCACCCACCAGCTCTGCTGCCTCCCTTTCCCAGGCTGCCTGGAGCAATCCGGCCCCTGGGCCCAGGGCTGACGGGTCAACACATGAGACAGAGCAGACTGCCTTGGGACAGTGGGATGCAATCCCACCCTCACAGCATGTCCTTAAAAAAGATCAGCGCCTCAGTGAGCAAAATCAATGACAGAACTGCAGCAGCCCGAGGCAATGTAGTTAAAAGTGGAAGAAACATCTCAGTTTCTGGTACACCAGCTCTTATGGAGTATGAAACACAGACAGCATATTGCAAGAACTGCTTTATACTCAGCTGATCTTGCCTTAGGAAAGGTGGATAAATGAAGCATCCTTTCACATGCCTTTTCAATGCTCACCTGCAGTGACCCCATGTATTTGCAGACTGCTTCTTAAGCAAGCAAGCTACAGCTTTAAGCATCACCCTACATGGGATGACTCCCTCCTGCCCCAGCCAAGGTGGGTACCACAGCCACACATGCTGCTCTGAGGCAGCCCCCCAGCACTGTTCTCCCACGCAACCTACTTGCAGCTAGCAAAGCGAACCAATCCATCCTTGAACAGGTAGACCCTGAGGGGATCATAGCAAGTGACGTAAACGTAGATCCTCAGGTCAAACTTCTTCCCGCCAATGAGGTAGGGTTTGTGCAGGTATCTGCAGAGGGAAGCAAGCACCAGGGGAGAGTTATAAGTTCCACGTGCAGGAATATCTCCAAGCCCCATTTCAGAAGGCTTGGAAAAACAGGGATTAATGCAGAAGCCCTTTTGCAGAACATTTCTAAGTGCATCACGGTGAAAATGAGAGAGAAAAAAAGCTCCCCCATACAATATTCCCTTCTGCTCAGTTCCATTTTGAAGATATTTTCCTGGCTGTAAGACACAGTAGCTTTTCCACACCCACCAGACTGATCACAGTATTCAGGAACATTTAAGACATGCAGTCTTAGATGCAGTGGGCCACAGATGGTTTGGTTCAACAAGCAGAAACAGTTGGAAATTTTTATCCAAATAATTTGATTCTTCAGCCCACAAGTTCAAGATTTTCCATAGGAAAGCTCATCACTTTGCACAGAAGCAATCAGGAAGAACAGACAAGCCAACACAGCAGTTCCCTGTCTGTCAAACACTGGGCAGTTTTCTTGCCCTCATAAGATCCTTCCCAGAAAGCAGCCTCAAATCAAGATAGGCTATTCCATTTTTCTGCAGAAGAGGGAGGAGATACCAGAAATCCTGTTATTTCTAGAAAATCCTCTGGCCGACATCCACATACACAGAGGCTCTTACTGACGCATTCTAACTTGGGTAAGAGATCTTTGACAATTGCCACCTCTTCCCTGGGACTTCTCTTCCCACTGTGCTTGTGGGCACTGGATAAGGTCTGTTTGCCTCCAAAGATGCCAAACCCCAGATTACAAAGCAGCGTGAGCAGGATCACAGCAGAGCTGAAGCTGACCAACTGCCAGACAAAAGCTCCAGAAAGCCTCAGGAGCCAAGTTTGTAAACAAGACCTCAAAAATCTTCACAGAGACAGCCTCTCTCTGGTAAGCCCAGCTGCAGCATCACACCCAGGCAGATGGGAAGCTTCCAGATGTAAATCAAGTGTTTCTACTCTGCCACATTGTGGCAGCAGCCCAAACCCTGCCAGAGAGACTGAACACGAGGAGGTCCCAGGCTGTGTGTTAACCTTGCTTTCCCTCACTCACCTCTGTACCAGCAGTGGTCTCCTTTTGGGGAGCTGGCTCCATTTATGGATGACTTGGATACCGATGCCTCTTGCTGATGCTGGCTGCGAAACAGAATTAAGAAGGGATCGAATCTCCCTGCAGCTACAATGGGACAGAGGACTGAGCTCTGCTTTGCACTTACTGGTTTCACAATCCATTTCTGGTGGCTAGCTCCTTCCTCCCATGCTTTCTTGAGTAATTTGATGTCCTGAGGCAGGATGAAGGACTGGGGGAAAAAGTTAAACTCCTTCTTCCCACAGCGAGTCTGCATTTTCAACAGGTTGCGCCACAGACGGTCCTTTCTCCCAATTTGAAATGAGCCAGGGAAGTGATTTAACTGGAAAAGAAACCAGATGCTGTGAGATCTCACTGCTTCCCACCTTCCTGCCCACCCCTTGCTGCTCCCTGCCTGGAGGATATATCCTTTCTGAACACAGTGCAGGGTAACGTCCTTTGCTTCCCTCCCAGGATTGCACCAAGATAGGAGCCATGCGCTTCTGAGGCCCTGCAGGGACAAAATCCCACACGATGACCCACAAAAGCTACAGAGCCAGCAGCAGGTTCCTTGTCTCTTCTGATTGTCTAAGCAGCTGCAGGGCACTAAGCCTCAGCCTTTGAGTTTCTTCTGGCAGCATTCTCCACCCCGGCACCTTCCCACTTGTTTCTAAACTGTATGTCAGAGTCCTGCCTACACAACACAAGCTCTGGGGACAGACAGACTCTGCGGCAGGACAGATACAGGGCTGGAGGCTGCTAACTTCCAAACATCGATGCTGCCTCAAGGCTGAGCAGTTCAGAGCATCACAAAACAAACATGTATGTGTGATGGATATCAAACCTCTTGTCCCTTGTGTGTTGCCCAAGCTACCAGCCAACCCTTTGTGATACAGCCCTCTCTGCCAGACCCTCTGGCTATGCTGGCATAGGGGGCACTGGCCCTACTGGTCAGTTCTGCCAAAGAAAGGACTGCTTTGAGCAACAATATCTGAACTTAGACGAGCTCACAAGTGAACACGCCTTGGCTACAGCCTCAGTCTGTACAAAAGCCATCCTCACAGCATGGATGCTCACCCAGCTGCCCCTGTCTTTTGAGCTCATCTCCCAGCACAGGAATGCCAGCTGCCACGCTTTGGAAGGGATCCTGTGGGGACGGCCTGCACAGCAAACATCTGGGCTTGAAAACAGGGGCACCCAAACTGCTCCAAACACATTCTCCATGCACTTGAAGGAGGGTAGCCCAAAACATCACCTACCTTCTGGTGCTCCTTGATGGTTCTGAAGCTGGGGGATTTCATGTGGTGGCCCCAGTAACCCAGCCAGTCATTGCTTTCTGCAGGAAAACAAGATTAACCATGACTAAGTACCCTGCCACACACAATCCCCTCTAGCCCACCAGCACCCCACCTCCTGGAGCTAGCAGAAGTATGCCAGGGATGCTGCACAGAACAGCACAAAGCACTCATACTGGATACTCCAAAGCTGCCAAATCATAGAATAGAATCATAAAATAGTTACGGTTGGAAAGCACCTTAAGATCATCAAGTTCCAACCCCCCTGCCGTGGGCAGGGACACCTCACGCTAAACCATGTCACCCAAGGCTTCGTCCAACCTGGCCTTGAGCACGGCCAGGGATGGAGCATTCACAACCTCCCTGGGCAACCTCTTCCAGTGCCTCACCACCCTTACAGTAAAGAACTTCTTCCTTATATCCAATCTAAACTTCCCATTTAAGTTTTAACCTGTTACCCCTTGTCCTATCACTACAGTCCCTAATGAATATTCCACCTCCAGCACCCCATAGGCCCCCTTCAGACACTGGAAGGCTGCTATGAGGTCTCCATGCAGCCTTCTCTTCTCCAGGCTGAACAGCCCCAACTTATGCCCTCTGTGTCCCATTAATAGCCCCAAAATGGCCTGTGCAGGGGTTTCCCAGTATACACAGGAGCCCCATAAGTACTCTGCAAGATCACACTCCAGGGCATGGATTGTAGCTGCAAATGCTCAGTGCTTCCCCAGCCCCAGCCCTCTCCTATACATCTCTTCAGTACCAAGATCCCAAGGCTGAGAACAGTCTGGCTATGGTCACAGAGGATGGCTTTTTTCTTAACACATGGAGACAGGATGCTGTGGTGCTGGGGCTGGCACCACATGAGTGCCAGGCTCCTTAGAGTGGCAGCACCACC